GAAAGATTGAAGACAAAAGGAAAAGGGGACGGCAGAAGATGAGATGGTTAGATAGCATCACCGAAGCAATGAACATGAAACTGAGCAAACTCCAGGAGGCAGTAAAGGACAGGAAGGCCTGGAGCGATATGGTTCATGGGGTCACGAAGAGTCAGACACGACTTAATGACTGAACAGCAACAAAAGTTGATGGTTAAGCACTGTGGAAGTGATTGGAAACAGTGTCTATAATACTGTTGCATTTCATATGCTTGCAAGTGGAAAATTGCCAGCACTGCTCAAGAGAGTCACATTTGACTGTACAAGAGAAAACTACTAAAAAAAAAAAGAGGAATGGCAAAAAAAAAAAAAGACTGAAAGAAAAACTCAAAAAGGACAAAACTCTCCATAATATCTAGAAGTTATTTAAAACCACAATAATTGAAACTCAACTGGATTTTTTTCCACAATGCAGGGAAGGTTGAACCAAATCTAAAAGTGGCCAGCATACTTTCTAGTTTTGTTCAGGAAGCTGCAGAGATTAAGAAGACTTCCTTCAGGAAATGGAAGATCTGTCCTGATGAAAACAGACAGAAGCACAAATTCTGGCAGAAATTGTTACAAGGAATGAAAAAAAAGAGTTGCTTTTGGAGCATATGACAAAAATATTAGGGAAATAATGAAAACCTCTTTATATTCAAAGCAGAAAACTGCCCAGTGAAGTAGCCGGGCCATTAAATAAAAATGAACCTAAGGGATATTCAAGGAGGATATTAAAGCTTCAGAGAAATGGGATGAATTCTTTGAATCTGTCTTTACTAAAAAAGATGTAAGATAGATACGCAAGCCTGTATTGCCTCTCTTAAAGGAGGGAATCTGAACAAGTAAAGCAAAATGAGGAACAGGGGAAGATTTTAGGACTTATCAAAATACTATGCAATTACAAATCACCAGATCCAGATAATATCCACCAGAGAATTCCTAAAGAATTCAAATATGAAATTTTCAATTTTCTAACAAAAATATGTAACATGTCCCTGAAATTAGCTTTGACCAAAGGACTGAAATAGTCCCATGATAGCTACCCTGTAGAGGTCTGAGAAATTATAGGTCTCTCAGCTTAACATCTTTGGGCAAATTGGTAGAATTATAATGAAAACAAGAATAACTAAACATATAGAAGGGCAAGGCTTGATGAAAGGGAATCAGCATGGATTCTGCAAAAGTAAATTCTGACTCACCAACCATTTAGAATTTACTGAGCATATCAGTGGGCACATGGATGAACATGTCAATGGACTTTCAAAAAGCCTTTGACAAAATTCCTTTCCAAAGGCTCTTGAGTAAATTTAGTGAATGTGGAATATTTATGGATTGTTAATTGATTAAAAACATAAAGCAAAAAGAAAGAATAAATGGTCAGTTTTTTCAGTAGAGGGAAGTAAGAAGTTGAGTCCCTCAAGGATCTCTATGGAGATTACTGCTCTTGAACTTGTTCATAAATGATCTTGACTTAGGGGTGAGTTGGCCATGTTTGCAATTAATACCAAGCTGCTCAGGTCAATAAAAATCAAAGGTCATGGTGAAGAACCCCAGAAGTTTCTTAAAACTAAGTCAGTGGTCAGCCAAGTGGCAAATGAGTTGGGGCAAAACCGCTAATTTCGTAGAAACATTGATGGGAGCCCAAGTTAACTAACCAGGAAAAGGATGTTGGAATTACATGGACAGCTCATTAAAGATGTTGATGCAGGGTGATGCAGCTGAGAAAAAAAGCAGATTTCATGCTAAGGATTCGAAAATAGAATTATCGACATTGTAATGGGCTTACATAAATTTAGGGTATATCTACATCTGGAATATATGTACTTTTCTGGTTGCCACATTTGAAAACATATATAACACTTGGATAACTGACCACCAGGAAATCCTACGGTTTAGAATAGATGAGGAAGTAGAAAAAGCATCTAGGAAGAAAAAAGTGGTAAACCACATGCATATACTTGTCAAGGAAATTACATGGTCATGTTCATGTAATAATCTACCTCTAATTAATATATTGATGATACTAACTCTGTGATCCAACTTCGTGACTGTGAGAGGATAGCGAATGCCCTATAACATTCCTTGGTCTTCAGTATGGTATTGAATGAAGATCTTGTTGATCAGGAGGCAACTTAAATGGAAATTGGTTGAAAGCTATAATGATTTGGCCAATTTTGTCCATAATTGCTTTCTTTCATATGAACTTATCGGTTGTTAGTTACAACTTGGTGTTTAATAAGGGCCTTTTCAGTAGTGAGACCTTATTGTGTCTCCATTTTAAGGGAGATGAGATTATCACCCTTTATTGCTTTGCATTAGATAGGCAGAAAGACTTCTGTTTTGTTTTTAACTTTTAATGCTTGATTATGTTGATTTATATCAGTTCTTAACTGTAATAAATATTGTTCTCAAATGTTTTTGTATGGTATGTTTTTGTACCTGTGATTATTTTTACAATGATATGCTTTTACAATGTTTTTATTGTTATATTGCCCAGGGGAACTCATAGTTGGAGAATGGAATATATGAAGTTAATCAGTGGTGTAAAAAAATCAGATCCCTACTCTGTACCTTACTTTACATGCAAAGAGGGGAATTTATGCCCATACTTTTTCATATTTAATTTGTTCTTGGGTGGTTACTGCTCTGTTGTTTACATTGTTAAATTGTACTTTTAACTGTTTTGTAGACAGAGCTAAGCAGTCATAGGATATATATTTTAAGACACAGTTTAATGCAAGATTCTAACAGTGATGTATTTAATTAGGATTAAAATAATGCAGAACATTGGAGTTGCATTTATTAAAACTGGCCAATATACTGATGCCATTAGCTCATTTGAGCACATTATGAGCACATCACCAAACCTGAAAGCGGGCTTCAACTTGATCCTGTGCTACTTTGCTACTGGAGACAGAGATCAAATGAAAAAAGCCTTCCAAAAACTGCTTGCTGTTCCACTGGAAATTGATGATGATGACAAGTATATGTCACAAGGAGTAAGTATGCACAAAGATATAACTGCAGTTTATATAGCAAAATCATTTGTGGAAAGGAAAAATGGTTCCTTGGTGGCATATAACAGTGGCATAAAAACACTTTATGATCAGATATTAAGCAATGGTAATTTCATCCCAACAGGTCTCTTTTCTTACAGACAAATATTTTAAATGCAGTTTTGAAGTAAAGTTTATTACACCAATGAAGTGCATGGTTGCACTCGAGCCGCATTTAAATGGCTCTGATTTGGACTAGCGCATCACTCTGCAGCATTATAAATTACAGAATAAGTACAGAAATACTTAATAAAGCCCCTATATGGATAAAAGGATTTTTGGATCAAAAAGTAAATAGAAACTGATACTTTTGGAACTGAAATATGTCAGTTTGGTGCAGAAATAAGCATCTAACCTGCCATACAAAGCATAGCTCAGTTATTTAAGAATAAAGATTTTGCTTAGATTGGGCTGCTCAAATCCTGCAATGAGATGTGCTGAGTTAAGTAGCTAAATTCTGTATTATTGTCTGAAGGAAAATAGTTTACAGAGTATGACATGCAAAATGTTATGGTTTTCACTGATACATTTCTGTGTGCATATATCCATACCTGTTCTTTATGTTACTTCGGTGACTAGATATTTCTTTACCATTTTTAGGATGATCCACATACAAACTTGTTGATAGAAGCTATTAAGAATGATAGCTTACGGCAAATGGAATGCGAAAGGTAAAGGTGGAAGTCTCTCTTGTATTATTTCCAAAGGTCTTTCATTATCTTTCATATTTTGTGGATATGTTTAGGCAGTGAAAAGGTGAATGAATTGAATGTACTTTTCCATCTCTTTACTTTGGTTTTGCTAAATTGCAAGTCAGTTTATTTTTATTTACCGTATTTTTCCATCAATAAGATGCCCCCATGTACAAGACGACCCCCACTTTTCCAACCCAAAATT